AAAGGGATGTGTCTTATTGTTACTTTTTTTGTTATTGTCGTTGTTTGTTCATAAGTGCAAGTAGCTGCATTGTACAATTTTTAAAAGTATTGCTCTGCAGTCATTCCCTGGATCATCTTCTCATGCTTCGTGGAGCAGAACACAGACTGGGGAGCACTGATGTTACCCATCCCCGTGCCTGGAAGTCGGGTCATCTGTACTTAAATTAGTTTAAGACGTTACCCAGCTGAGGGCCTGCTCCCACCTACAGTGACAGAGCAAGAAGATGGCAAGAAGTGGGACGACGATGAGCTCAGGAGAGCTCTGCTCAGCCGAACCACAGCGGATGGCTAACCACCTCCACAAGCAACCAGCATGGCAAAAGACTAGGACGGAAGCATTTGCAGAAGAGACAGGACTTTCACACATGAAAGTGTTTGTGCACTGATCATTCAAACAATTTCCCTCTCATGGTAGTTTTCTGTTCCATGTAATTGTGCAACAGGGAACGACATATCGGGTTATTTTTATTAGGAAGAATGGGATTCAGGTTACGAAAGTCAGGAGGTGCTACATTCAGACTCAGTCACAACCAATGCAAAAGGAAATGTAATGAAACATGTCAGAGACTTCATGTGTTTTCTTAGAAGACTGAAGCATTTTTGGCCATATTTTCTGTGAGACAAATATGGCGAGTTATTGCCACCTCTTCATTTTGAGCATTTTTACATTGCATATGTCCTGAATTGTACACATTAATTCCTTCTAAAGAACATTATATTCTTTCCATAATGCATCCTGTGACTCAGACGCAGAAAATCTGTCGCTAAAGCCTGTTGTCTATATAACCTGCCAGTATACTGGAAATGAGTACCGAGAAGTAGAACAAACATCCTTCAAGGGGAAGAATATCCCTCCTTTCTTAAGAATGGAAGCTTGATAATGAGCAAACATTGTTTAACAGGCTTTGCTTATTCATAAGAAAAGATGAAAAAGACATCCAGGAGAGCTGCAACCCGCACAAAGGATTGCAGCTCCTTGAAGGTCAGACTGACATACTGGTGGTTTGCTTAGGCACAAGACAAAGGCTTGTGGAGTGGATCTATTGTCAGGAACTCCCACAACATATCAAATACCACTCGTTCAGTAGTGTTACTAAACAGACACAATAAGAAAATATTATTTCTCCCTTTTTAAGACACTTGTACCTTTTAGAGATTCCAGCACAGACAAAATCCACCATTTTCAGTGAAGGTGAAGGCTTCTGAATAGAAGTAAGAGATCTCTTCCCCTTTACTGGAGGGCACAGCTGATGGTTATCTACGGGCACGTACAGTTATGATGCCATTATCAAGGACATTTTAATCTCTGGCTTTTAATTCCTTTTAAATAACTGTGTTTGCTTTGGTTGTTACTGGTGGAAGAAGCACTTGGGAATTTTTTGGTCAGATGAGAACCAAAACCAAACACTACATTATATACATGGTAAAGATCAAAGGACTTAGAATAACATACTAAACATTTTGTTCGCTTGGGTGTAACATGTCATCTCCAGGCATGTTTCTGGAGCAGGTTGCATGAGAAAAGGCTTTGGAGGGAAAGAGAGCCTTTCAACAACGTGAATAAAGACAAAGGAGGACGCAGAATTCACAGGCACAGCTAATCAGCCTGCTGGGCGGTACATAAAGAGGCTGGGGGGGCGAGGAGCTTTGCAGGAGCCTGGGCTAGCCAGAAGCGAATATCAAAGCGCAGTGTTCCTGTGATGCAGGTCAGCGTGAGGCCTTGCCGTGAGGCCTTGCCATCTGGCCCTGAGATACTGACAACTGGCTAGGTCGTGTTTTTATATGGACTTAACTGACACACTGCTACCAGAGCTAAACCATAAAAACTATATTTCTTGCTGGAGGGAATGTTAACCCTCAGTGGCTGAACAAAACATATTTTTTGGTTCTTGAGAGAAACTCCCAGGCCTAATCCTTAAGGTCTGCGTACCTCCCGGGAGAGTTGTTGTCAAATACGTGGCACATTTGAGAAGTATTTCACCTCGTCAGGGGATGTGCTAGCAGAGAAAGACAGCCTCAGTGAATCCACATAGAAGAGGTTACTCTCTGGAGGAAAAGCTGATGATGTATTGCAGTCGTGATATAAAATATGGTGTGTCCTACAACAGCAACTCTGAGTCCCTGGAATAACTCAAAGCACCTAGCTGTACTGCTGGTAATTCATGTACCCATCGCATTTGTTAACAGGCAGATGACAGGCCATAAAACTACACACGTAGCCTTGCATCAATCATGGTGTGATAAGCGTGGACAAGTTACATATGGGTGACAGAGAATGAGGAAAAAAAAAAATCAGACAAAAATGCAGAGAGTTCACAACATGAGTCTCTTCTTATGCCACCAGAGGAATACAAAAAACACTGGATTTTCTGAGCCATTTTAAAAGATACTGGTAACTTCTGTCTCCCTTCTACTTCTGTATGTCAATCAAGATGATATAATAAGGATAATGCCTCTCCAGTCATAAATCAGTGCTGAACAAACTTCCTCCTGGAAGCAGCAAAGCTGTGAGTTTTCCAGATTTATTTCTGAATGTAGAGGGGTGGATGGACGCGTCTTGCTCAAGCACAGCTTCGTAGGAGCTCAATGAACTGATCCAAAACCAGTTGCTTAGGTTTCCTGTAAGGAGGTGGATGTCTGAAACAAGAGAGATGACACATCTCCTGGAGATGCCCACACACGGCTGCTGTGGGCACACACCTCCCTGGCTGCGGGGGGAGCCCGGGCCCTGCTGTGGGATGATGCAGCCAGCACACAGATGGTGGTGGTGGGAAGGGGCATCCCACGGGGGGGCAGCTGATTGATCTCTGCGGGGTGTGCAGTGCCCCCAGTGCTTTGAGCAGCCCGCCCAAGTGCCAACACCTCCAATTCTGGGAGTTAAATGGAGGGCAGACTGCTCGGGGCAGCACCAGGCAAACCTTCAGCTGTGAAAAAAAAAAAAAAAAGAAAATAATAATGGGAGAGACACCATAAAAAAACAAACCACTTGTACTTGGGACAGGTGCTCATCCTCACATCCCTGCTCTCAGCCTCGGCTTTGCTGCTGCCCTGGTGCCAGTCAGTGGGGAGTGAATCACCACAGCAGCATGATGAATCAGCAAACAGAGAGCACATTTCCTCACGTTATCTAATGGTGATGCACTGAGGATGTGGCTGATTAGAGAGCCATCCTCTCCCTGGCAGACTTTCTCAGCTGGTTTGCTAACCGGTAGGGTGAAGCTGATGACCTGTACAGCCAGAAACGTTCGCACCCCCCTGCAGGTTACCTGTTATGCAGCAATAGCCACAAATATGTAAAATATGCAAAAAATGCAAAAGATAAAAAAAAATCCCCCTCTTTTTTTTTTTTTTTTCTTGTCCTCTTGTGAAGGATTGGCGACTGTGCTGTTAACTCCTCTGAGACCAGTGGTGAGGCCGCAGCTACTCACGTCAAAGAGCTGTGGATGGGAGATGAAAGCAATCTGCTGCCAAGAGTGGCAGCAAACCCACATGCCATCTGAGTGCAAGCCATTTTTGTAAATACATTGCAGCCACACGGGCTCGAGTCTTAGCTGTGAACAGTATCCTTGTTTTTGACTCTGCAACAGTACTTTCTTGCTGTTTGTCTATACAGGAAGGGAGTTTTTTTGTTCCTTTGCTTTTCTTTTTCCAATGTATTTGGGGCTCTACAAATCTATTTTGTGTGTTGGGAAAAAGGAACACAATTTGAGGAAGCGTAACTAAGCCCGATTATTATAGACAAGCTTGATAGGTCTGGCCAGAAAACTACCTTGGTTTCAATTGTTTGTAACTTTAAACAGATGGTCTGAATTTTTCCATTCTCTGACTTCAGTTTGATTTAATCAGAGGCTTGGGAGGGGGGTGAGCTTCTATCTTTTCATGTCAGCTGTGGGTCAGGCACTACAAAATAGCACTAAGGGACGCAGCGTTGTTTTTTCATGTTAAAAAATATGTAAAGGTTGCAATGTCACCATCCTCAGGAGGAAGGAATGACAGCTTGGCAGGAAATGTACTTTTGCCTATTTCCAGGTTACAACTATCTGAAAAAAAATATGTGTTGCATATGTAAAGACCTGCTAGGGACTTTTATCTTTATTTTCTGGAGGCAAGGTCTAGCTTAGAGCTGAACAGGCCCTCCTCTATAATTGCAGTTCCCTCAGTCTCTTGCCCATCCTGAGTACAGGTGAGGAACCGAGACCTGGAAGTCTTTCTCTTCTATATTTTGAGTCCCAGAAAGAAGCTGAGAAAAAGCCTTTCTCACAAGTATTACTTTGGGTTAACTGGCTTTGATTAGAGAAAGCGTCAAATAATGTCAGCTGCTCCAAAAGCTGGGTCCTCAACATCTCAAGCTGGCCATCCCAAATGGTTAACGCACACAACGTGGACACTTCTGACACGGGTCTGAGTTCCCTTGTGTAGTCTGGAGATGATGCCACCCTCATGGTTTGCATATAAGTCCCATAGGAAGTCTTCGGAGAAAATGATTGTCTTCTCAAAACAAGATGGGTGGGATGTTCAACAAATAGGGCTTGAGAACCTATGAGGGGAAAAAAAAAATTGCCTACGTGACAGTGAGTGCTATCCATGCCGGGACTGCCTACTGTCTGCTCGTAATGAAAGAAAAAAGAGTCCTTGGAAAAAATAAAAAATAATAAAAATAATAAAAATTGCTATGTGTAAGACATTTGACGTCCAGCTCTGGTTATATTTTCCTCCTCCATCAAACCACAAAGTTTGAACCCCCAGCATGTTGTCCTGTATGGACAGACAGGTAGGTTTCCCACTCAGAAAAAAATAATAATAATAAAATAGAAGCAAGGGAACTCAGATGGGTTTTGGCCCAGTATCCACAATGTTTGACTGGGAAAAGTTTCAAAGGGCCAAAGTACCATTGACCTTGGTGGTTTGGGGTTATTGCCTTAGGGAGTGTTGACTCCATTTAGAAAGGTGCTTTGGTGCGATCTCTGGGCTGTTTCTGTCCCGAGCCTTCTCTTCAGCCAGAGCAGACACCGCTATCCCTTTTGTGACCCTTGGGAGTGCTGGTGCAAAGGGAGCCCGGCACCTTGCACAGGGGAAACTCATCCTCTGACATATCCCTGCCTGACAGCAGGGGTGGATCCCCAAGGATTCCAGCTGCTGCCAGGGTAAGGAGTCTGAATTTGGGAGCAAAGAGGCATGATGCTCGAAGCAACAGCACTAGTAATTCAGTGATAATTGCGTTGTGTGCACAAACAGCGATGGCTGGGATGCAACATAAAGAGAAATCTAAAATCTAGCAAGTGGCTGCATTGTAAGAGAAAGGGCTGGATCTGAAGCTCAGGAAAAGCAGCAACACTTCACCACTGTTTCCAGCAGTGCCTGTGAAGAAAAAATAAAAATAAAAAATGCCAGAAAATGGCCTCATTTGTCTCCAAGAGCTACAGCTTCTTAAATCTCTGGAGTAACGATAGGCTGCTTGTTTTCCTTTTGTAAACTATTACGAAAACCAAAGCATATTTAACATGTTTTGGCTTTTTTTTTTTTTTTTTAAATCTGCCAGCGGTGCTTGTGGCAGCGGACTGGAGGGATTGCAGTGATGAGCAGAGGAAGCAGCCCCCTGGCTGCCGGCCAGCCAGCCCGCGTCCTCTCCAGGAACCGGCTTATAAACGGCAGGGAAGTGATGTAGTTCCACAGAACTGCTGAGGTCAACTGCTGAAGCCTGTTGTTTGATGGGTTTCTAAATATTTTCCTCCAGGCCACGGAGACCAAAGCTGCCGAGATAGATGGAAGCGCTTTTTAAGAAGAGGGCAGGCTGCATGTTGAGGTGCTAGATGCCCAGCTCCCCGCGGTGTGGCACCCAGGGGACAGCAGGAGGGGACGGGGACACCAGGTTCAGGTTGTGCAACTGAGGCAGGAGCCGTTCTGCCAAAGTCACATGAAGAAAGAGGGGCCAGTTTCCCAATTTCTGCTGATTCATAGGCAAAATCCCCCTGGAACAGCTGCTCCTTCCAGATCCCACCCTCAAACCTACAAAATATCACAATTGCTGCTGATTGCATGGGATTCCTGGCAGTGACAGGGAAAATGACACCAGAAAGGTTTCGTTTTTTATAAAGTCAGAGGCAGAGAAGTAATTCAATGACCGGAGAGTCACTGCTAGGTCATGGGGAGGCAGATCACATTTTAATGCCTCACTTCTCTTGCCAATAACGTGCTAGGGTGGTAGGACAAAAAAACATGTGGGTTCATCGATTGTCAGCCTGGAAAGTGTTTGTGATCAGTTAGGGTAAGCTCCTCACGGCACAGCCTCCAGCATTCCCTGCAAGACTTTCGATTTGAGCCACAGTTGCTCCTTCAGACAAGAATTTATGCAGAGTTTGTTGGCTTAGTGCTGAGTATGTTTGGAAAGAGGTGGGGGTTTTAACCATAACAGCTTGCTCTGAGAGAAAAAAAGAAAAAAACAGCAAAACAGGTTGAAGGCAGACTTGGTTTAAAATATGTTAGTGGCAATAAAAACATTCACATTTGTTCCAGTAAATTTAGCATCCAAAATGAAGCTTTAATGCTACCTCTATTTTGTTGTTGTTGTTCATGTTGAACTTGCATATTTCGAATGACAAATGTGAAGAGAATACTTTGAGAAATTCAACTTTAAACGTTAATAGGCTTTAATTGTTAACAGTGACCTGTCTTACCCCATCCCGTCCTGTCCTACCCTACGCCAGGTATGTTTTCACCCTGCTCAGCAGAGAGGAATGCGAATGCCTTCTAACCATGCACTAAATGATGCCGCTAGCAGCTGTCATACCTGGTTTGCTCTCTTCCCTTATCAGCTCCCCAGGGCAAGATGTGTATCTGAAATGTGTTGGTAGAGGTGTTTATTTTAGGCGTGCATGCTGTTTGTATTAGATTAGGCAGATTGAAGAGGTACACTTGATGCTCGCAGTGAATGACAAGACGCTTTTGCAATTCCAAATGTCGTCTTGGTTGTTTGCTGTATTTATTTCAACATTTGTTTTCCACTTTTGTGGGGGGGGGGCTTTACCCCCCCATCCCTAACACAAGCTGCTTCATGCTTCTTTCCCAGAATTCTCTAAAAACTATTTTTTGTGACGCTACATTAAAAAATTGCTCGCCCTCTGCAAGGCATCCCTATCCCAATCACAAGCCAGCGTCCTCCTCATGACTTTCTGTCCAAAGTTGCTTTTTAACACAGGTTATTTCTCCGACCTTGCTGGTGCGGCCGCTGTGCAAACAAGTTGCTTCAGCAAAGGGAAAGGGGGAGCAGCTGGGCTGGGGGACGAAGTGGGAAATTCTTCAGCTGCTTTCGTTGCCAAACCTAACACATCGTGTACCTACACCGTGGTCGCCAGGCTCTAAAATAAAATAAATAAATAAATAAATACGTAAGGATAACAAAAAAGGGAACAAACAAACAAAACCCCTGTTGTACAGCAGCCGTGTCATATGCCCTCGAGCATGTGGGAGAGGACAGCTGCCCTGAGCCTGGTCCTGTGATGAGGTTTTCTGCACAATGAGCCCTTTGCATGAGCTCCTGTGACAGCAGCAGCATATCTGCTGTGCTGGGGTGTGTGACTGAGAGCGTGTTTCCTGCACTGAGCTATTGGCTGTGAGGTCACCAGAAAGGGGGAAGTTCCCTCTGACACGCTGTTCCCCATAACCAAATGTAGGGTCAGAATCCAGGCCCCTCATTCCCAGAACCGAAAGGAGACAGAGGGAAAAACTCACGACCTTGCTGAAAGACAGGAGGCTCGATTTCTTGTCCCACAAGAAATTGTTCTAAATCTGGACTAAAGACCGCTGGGAAAGCTGTCCTGGGAGCACAGGGGTGGAAATTGTGGGTCTATCTAAGACCAGGACAGCGGGTCTGTGCACCCCATTGCAGCAATGCCAGCATGGACTGCCTGCTAGGCTGGATTCAGTCAGATGAGCCGTGCTGGTGTAAGCATGGAGTACCCATGCTCGGGGAACGCACTGCTTCCACTTCAACTTGTCTGATGGCACCGGTGTGAAAGCTACAGGCGAGCCTCAGCAGCCTCAGATCCCAGGGAATCGTTTTCTGACGAGGGGCCACGCCAAGGAAAGGCAAGACGGCACTTGTTCCGTCAGCAGAGGAAAGTTGTCATACGAGAAATACCATTACGGCAAGGCTAGCGGCCTACGGGACTTGCAATGCTCAGCTACCCCACCGGCAGGTAAATAACAGGACAAACTGCTGGCAGAAAGCCTTCATATATTCATTGTAAATAACATAAATATGCTGGCTGTTTTCCAAACCAGGAGGAGGAATGTCAGATTTTGTCTGACCTCTGGCACATCCCTTGGGATCGACTTTTTTTTTTTTTTTTCCTCGGGAGGATTATGATAAAATTCCCATGGTGGTTTGCTACGGCTCTTTTATCAACATGTAGCCAAACATCTGCAGGATATCAGGCTTCAATATACACAGATTAAATCAACTCTGGAGAAAGTATCAGTGCTCTCCCGCAAAGCATTAAAGGGGAGGCGTTCTTTATGAGCTTGGCAGGAGAGCACGAAGCATTGAATAAACTCTCGTAATTTAGGAAAGGGGAATCTGTGTGTTATTTGTGTTTAAAAATTAAAACTAAAAATCAAATAAATTGAAAAGTTGAATCTGAAGAGCAGCAGACTCTCGGGGCTGCCTGGGGAGGTTGTCAGATTGGACGGGCCCTTCGCCACAACCGGTGCCCAACGCGTCGCATCGGCACGCGGCAGCTCCGGTGTGCGTGGATAACCCATGCGGCCCGAAGGCTGCAGTCACACTCAGGCTTTCAGCAAACCTGAGTCTGACTTCCAAACACCACCCCCCAGAGAAACCACCCTACCTGAAAGGTGCTGGCCTGCCAAAGAAGCAACACCCACAATAAGAGGTGACCATTTGAGGTCAAGAAGGACAGCAACTGAACCAGAAGTATCAAAAAAGTACCAAAGCTTAACAGGAGAGACTAATTTTAAAGGGGAATTTTATGCATGTGCTCCATGTGCCCTGAATAAACAGCGCTCTGTTTGGATGTGTCTGTGTGTGGATCACTGCAGCTGGGATTCACTCCCCTTCCCTTCAGCTTCTTACACATTTGGGCCAGGTCCTGGCTAGAGGCTTAAAACCTCGGCTGGTTTTAAGACAAATAAATGACAGTTTGGAGATACACATTATACCATAAAAAGTGTAAGTGTTTATACCATAAGGAAAACTGTAAATATGGCGTTTTTTCCCTTCTAGAGTATTTTTCCCTGGTTTTGCACAAACAGTTAAGTGCTACCTGAGCACTGTGTAACTTTGGTGTTGCCTGCAGTGAAGCTGTTAAACACACGCTCGTCATCATTGTTTAAGTGGCCATGCCACCTCAATTAAGTGTGTAAAATGATTCATGCTCAGATTGGTTTATTGAGAAAGCACAAGAGTTTCCAAGCACAGGTTAGAGAGGCAGATGCATTTAAAATAAAAGTGCAGTGTGCAGTGGAGTTAAAATATAAATATATATATATATATATAAAGAAGTGCAAGATGTATTATTCTTAAGAAAGTCTCCAGGTTGTTTCTTGACTGGTTAACCACGAGGACCCCCCGATGTGCCAGATGCTGCCCCAGCCCACATTGTTCATGCCACGTATGCCCCTGGTGACTCAGGGCAGGGCCAAGAGCATCCACCTGAAGGGCTGGAGCCAGAAATCCCACCTGGAAAAAAAAAAAAGACCGATGTACTCAGTGTGCCTGCTGGGTCTCGAACTCTTCATGCACCACCTATTCCAGCCTAACTGAACTGCTGAAGTGCAGCAAGTGACATTTCAGACCCGCCAGGCGCAGCAATAAATGCCTTTGGACACCAGCGATTTGACTGCGTGCTCCACCCAAGAAATGGGAACGGTGCCCTTTGTAGTCATGCTTATCCTCAGCTGAGTTGCCATGGAACAAAGCCTGGCTAATCCTGGTGGACTGATTCGGGAACAATCTCTAATCTTATTGCCTAATTCTTTATCACTCCCATTAGGTCGTTTTTTTATCCAAGAGCAGCGAGGTTTCCAAGTTGTCATCGCCCTGTGCTGAGTCCTCTGGCTACGAAGAAAAAAGGATGTTGTTTCTCTTTGGGTCAGGGCGAGGAATGTTTCCTTCCAGTAGTAGATGAAATCTCCCTTGAGTTTCCCTTGAATTCATAGGATTCAGGACACATGAATTCATTTGTTCCTCTGAGCCTGGAAATTGCAAGCATTGTCAGGGAGACCTCCTCGTTTGCCAGTGAAATGAATGTTTCAGGGACATGCATGCAAGAGCTCCTTCCAGCAACGCACACACAAAGACCTCCTCGAAGGAGTCCCTGGAGAAGACCATGCGAGCTCCCTGCACGGAGCTAAGCTCGCCCCCATCAAAGCCCCGTGATATTCCCTGTAAAATAGCAACAGAAGGTCGCCGCGCCGCTCTGCTGGCTGCTGGAGATTGCGGGGAAGGAAGTCCTTTCGTTTCAACCCTTCCTGCTGCAATAAAATTCAGAAGGAGATGAAAACCAGCACTGACAATAGAGGTATTTAAAGAGAGGGAGCTTTTTGATGAGACAGATGGCAACTGTAATTAACTTCGGCATTTTCTCCTATAAACCACAGAGTTTAAAATCAATTAGCTGGCTTTTTTTTTTTCTCGCTTTTTTTTTTTTTTTTTTTTTTTTTTTAATTAAATAACCCCATTTGCACCTAATCAGCAGCCAGTTCATATCCAGATGGTACCACAGCCAGCTCTGGGAGGGGATGCTGCCCAGGCCAGCAGCTCGGGCACCCACCGCCTGCTTACCCCTGGGGCAGATGCCGGAGCTCCCATTCCTCCACAGGACCAAGGAGGACAGAAATTTTGCCTCGAATGTGACAGTGCACATTGTTATTCCACCCTGCTTGTCCTTGAGCCCTGCTGTGGAGGAGGTGCCCACCAGACCTGGGTGATGCCTGCAGCATCCTGGGGCAACACAGGCTCGGGGAGGTGTCCCCTCACCCTGTCGTGCTCCAAAGGGGAGGTGACAACCTTGGGGAGCCCAAGGAACGGTGCTGGGGGGGCTGGGCCCCACAGCAGAGCTGTTTTTGGTGCCTGTACTACGTCTGCCTGTTGGAAGAGCCCTCCAGGATCACCTGGTCCAACCACCCCCCTGCCACCAATGTCACCACTGACCCATCCCAAGCACCAGGCCCAACCTCTCCTTGAGCACCCCCAGGGACGGTGACTCCACCACCACGGGCGAGCCAGCGGCAGGGATTTAATTTTCTGTGTTGTTTATCAGCAAAACTGGAGCCTTCACTTCAGCTGTTTGGACACAAACCTACTGACATAACGCAGAGTAGATAAATTATTCCAGTTCTGCTGCACATCCAGAGATTTGCAAGCCTTCCTCGCTGCTTCAAGGCTGCAGTGAGAGCTACTCCAGCAGGCCCGCCTCAGGTCATTTGTCATGGACATTTTGTCAGCTTGTTTTGCTGGAGGAGATCATTACTAAAAATTAGCTTTTGCTTCCAAGTGATGTGACCTTCTATTGTATCTTCTCATTTTGAATGTTAATTTTATTTTATTTTTTTTTAATGTAAAAACAAGTCTCCTTCCTTGGAGGCCTTCCAAAGCTGCCTGGAGATGGGCCTGGGCAGCCTGCGCTGGGTGGCCCTGCTGGAGCAGGGCTGGGGCCTGGTGGCCTCCAGAGGGCCCTGACAGCCTCTGCCAGCACTGGAACAGCCCTACAGCTTCACCTGGCCTTCCTTACTGGGAAGTTTGAAGGGATTTCTTGTTGGCAGCTTCGGAAGATTGAACTATTTAAGTCTTTTAACTCTCCTTCCCGATGCTTTGTGCAATACCTTAGTGTAGAATAATTTATAGACAAGTCTGAAAGCAAGGAAATTACAGATTTTTCTTTTTTTTTTCCTTATAAATAAGCAGGAAGTTTTTAGATTCCCATGGCCAAGGCAGCATATTTGGGTTTCCCCCTACTTTCAGCTGTGTCAAGGCCAAGCCGATCATTTGGCTCGTCCAGTTCCACCGCTGTCTGCAGCAACAAGTGCAGCAAAAAAAATGCTGCAGCAGGCCCAGCCCTCGGGAATTTGGTGTAAAATAATGAAGTCTGGGGGTTTGTTTGTATTTTATAGCTGTACACAGCTTCTGTCTTGGGGCTTTGAATGGTGCACAGCCTCGTCCTGGAGTAATCCCTGAGGATTTTGAGGGTCCCCTGACCAGCGGGCTGCTATCTGGTAGCTTCCACTGCACTTGGTGCTGTGGTGGGTTGCTTTTGGGAGACTGCATCAATCTTTTAAACCCTGTTGTGGAAAACAACGGGATAGCTGCACGGCTGGGAGGGGCGTCAAAGAAAATAAACGAGAGCTTTAAAGCCGAGGACTCTGGAGGAAATCAGCCTCAGCAGGGCCAAAACCAATTCGCCACAATATGGAGAGAAGCCCAGAGCCCCTTTCGGAACCTATTGTTGATGTGTTATTATTTTATATGTTTATTTAATAGGTTTAAGAGCTACGCCCTGCAGCTGATGTGCCGATAAATTGCTCTGTGGCTCCCTCTCATGGATAATTCAACCAGAAGCAGGTTCAGGGTAGCAGCAAGAGATGAGCTCAAACAGCCCTTGCTCTAGCTCAGCATCGAGGTCTTCGCGGCAGGGTCATCGCCTGGTGCCCCAAAACGCAGCGCTGTTATCGCTCCCCATCCTTCTGCTTTCCTGTTATCTCAGCTGCTGCTGCAGCTCTTCTCAGAAGGGTTTTCGGAGTAGGCAGAGCTCAATGAGGAGGCGACGGGACCCAGCAGTGGGGTGGGAGCCGTGGGGACGCCGGGGTGGATGTCAAAGGCTGGGCAGAACCCAAGGGTGCTGCAGGGGACAAGGGGGCAGAGCAGCCCTAACCTCTCCTAGCACACTGCTAGGAGGATCTCTGAGATCTGCAGGAAGTCAGATAGCAGAGAAAGCTTTAACAAAATAATCTCTCCCCCCTGAACAAGTGACGCTAGTAAAAGCCACGCTTCATTTGTGTGCACATGGGTATTATTATGGTATTTATGCCCAACACGTTTCTGCCTCGGATGCTCACAGATACCAGGAGCTTTTAGTCTGCCCAAGGGTTTATTTGTGTCATCCCCAACCTGAAGATAGCCGTGCTTTTATTTATTTGTTTAGAAGAAGGTAATATTCCATATTAGTCCATTATTTCTAATACTGACTTTAAAACCACGATGCTGTTTTAGGAGTGGAGCAAGAGGAAGAGTGGCCAGCACTGTGGTACGTTGCAGAACAGAGCCTGGAAATGAGAGAAAAACTGTATTTGACGAAGTTTTCTTTTGGTGCCAAGTTTTCTTTTGCACCACTGGAGGAAGCCTTTGGGAATCAATGCCTGTTTTTCCACTGAGCTTCATTTGAACTCTAGCATTTGAGGTTTGTGTTATCAGAGGGTTGTGCACCTTGCAAAGTCAATACTAACATAAGATGAGGCAGGTAATCAAACAGCTTCTGGTACTGATACAAGCCTCGGTTGCAGTCAAGGATTTTCGAGGTGCAGTTGAGCTACTCCGCAGCTTCAACCCAACAGGCAACTGGCAGGCCTGAGGTAGACGTGCTAAAATAACACAGCAAAGTTGTCAGGGACATTGCTGATGAGCAGCTCAGCCAGGATGTCTGGGATTCAGGTGCAGTCCCGGCATTACCAGACGGCCATCTGAGCCCACTGGCCTTTCTGGCCTCGGTCCTGTATCTCCAGAGGAAACGTCCTCCCCACACTCATTTCCATTGCATCAGCACTTGCAGCCACAAAGCCAGACAGATCAACGAGATCCTCCGACTCCACAGCACAAGGCAAAAACAGCAGGCTTGCAGCAGAATCAGCAAATGGGTCCGGCTCACCGCAAGGATGTACCGATTGCAAAGTGATAGGAGGAAAGTGATAAGAGGATTGCAAAGTGATGAGAGGAAAGGCAGTGAGTATGCACTGCAAGGGCAAGGGAGAGACCAGGACTGCCCTTTCCAGGGAAATCCTGCAGTTGTATTGACATGAGCTGGTCAGGAAATGGCAAGGCCAGCTTTTCATGAGGTGGAGATGGCAACACTTCTCTGGTGATTAAAAAACAAAACAAAACATCAAACAACAAAACACAAGAAACAGAGGAAAAAATAGACCTAATATGGTGATTGCACAGTTCAGAAGAAAGAAAGTACTCTGTCAAGTATGAGAGGCAATAAAAATAAGCAAAAGTTACTTTGATTTGGCTTCTGCTAAAGGGACTAAAAATAAATGCTCCTTCCAGAGGCCCCTTCTCAGAGCAGGGAATTAAGAAGTACATATCCTTATTTTAAAACATTAATATTGAGTCCTAAATGTTCTCGAGTTTCTGAAGAACAATTATTTTTTCCACAATAAATTTGCTCTTTAATACAAGAATAACCAGTCCCCTTAACATTATATAAATGTTCGTGTTCCAGTGGTTGCATTCCAGGTGATATTTCTGATCTAAATCTTAAACAACATCCTGATATGCCAAGACAGATATGTAGATACTCGTGGGTATGCTGAAGGACATTAAAATGTTTGTCACTAAAAATAAAAATTCTTGCAAGGAATCTCGTCACAAACATCAAAGGAAAGGAAGCTGTGATCTGTAACAGAAATGGCCTTTGCTGAAAAAATGCCTGAGTTTTCTACAGATGGCTACTTTTGATTTGACTGATTGTGAAAATACACTTTTAAAACATAACTTGACATTCGGTGCAATTATTAACCCTTTTTTTTTTATTCTGATAAGAACGAAGATAAGTTTTTGTTGCACATACGGCCACAGCTAGTTTAGCTGGAAACAAACAAACAAATAGCAATATCCTCTGAAGTTTCTTTATCCTTACTTTCCATTTTGTACTTTCCATCAAATGTTCTGCACAAAAAGGGCTCAAATCAGTGTTCTTACAAGCATACATGAAAGAGATTCCTCTCTTAGGACTGGGATTGTATAAAAGAAATCTCTGTTCCTCACTGACATCTTGCCTAAAAATACATATAAAAGCATTTTCTCAGTAATACATATAATCTATAAAAGTAAAATTCTTTAAAAGTTCAGAGACTCTTAAAGTTGGTTGCTATCAGTGTTACACCCGAGTATATATTGAGCATATATTCCAATGTCAGGAAAGGATTGTGCTGTGCGGACTTACATTAATCATGCATTATTTATTATTGCAAGGAAAAACTAATACTTGGGAATCAGGGAGAACAAATCTTCACAGACTTCTCCTGTGCTGCCATGGATAAATTACTTTGTTTTGTTTGTTGACATTCAGCTAACTCAATTCTTTCTACTCTGAAATGCAGTCTACAGGACACATAAAGCAGTAAGCCACGGAAGTTAAGCCACTCATATAAATAACACTGAAAACTTACAGGATATTTTATATACTTTTTTTTTTTTCAGTGTTAAGTATGCACAAGATGCCTATGTTTGTGATGTTTACAGATGATCAATGCCCATCTGGCAACCCAGGCTGGTTGTGCTATTAGTTAAAAAGCAAATTTTTGACTTCTCATCCAACCAAAAAATCACTTCTAAACTGGTTTATTTGTTTGTTTGTTTGTTGGTTGGTTTAGTACTTGTTAAACTAAGTCCTGCCAAGCTACAGGAAGGAAAATGCAAGCTGTTAAAAAT